ACAGCCTTTATTGTTTGAAATGTGAAGTGGGAGAGGAGAGCTCAGGCTCCCAGGGCGGCTCCACAGACCTGATATCAAAGGAGAACGAGTCAGTACCTCGGGGAGGAGCCTGCTGAACCCTGCTGCTCCTCGGAGCCTGCTGTCCGGGTGCTCGAGGTTAGTACTTACGGACTGGAAGCCACCTGTACTAAAGGCATGGCACAGAGAAGACCAGAGCCCTTTCTCGACCTCCGCACATTACCAGGACTGAGGGGAAAGCAGTTTAGTGCCATCCTGACTCACAGAGATGTATTGATGGCATAAAGAAAGGTCCAAAATGTTTACTAGTAGAGGCAAGCAACTTTCTATTTTTTAAAATCTGAGCTTTAAATTTTCTATTGCCTTATTAAATTCTACTCTTATACACTCCAAATAAGAATGTACAAAATACTTTTTCTTTCAGTTGGTTATGACCTTGGGTGGGTTTAAGCTGTCTCTGGACTATGGTAACAGAATAATGGTTCACAAAAGATAATCACATTCTAATCCCCATAACCCATGACTCTGTTATGTATGATGGTGTACTAGTTTCCTATTGTGATGTAACAAAATATCACAAATTTAGTGTCTTAGAATAATGCAGACCTATTACTGTATAGTTATAGAGAACAGATAACTGCAGTGGGTTTCTGTGGACTAGAACCAAGGTTTTGATAGGACTGTGTTACTTCTGTAAGCTCTAGAGCAGAATTTGTTCCCTTGCCTTTTTCCCTTTTGGAGGCCACATGTATATTCCTCAGTGTGGTCCCCTCCTCCACCTTCAAAGCCAGCAGTTTAGCAGTTTAGCTCACACTGACCCTCCTGCCTTCTTCTTTTACTTACATGGACCTTTACGATTACATTGAATCCACCCAGATCACCCAGGATAATATTCCTCATCTCAAGATACTTAACTTAGTCATACCTGCAGAGTTCACTTTGCCATGAAAGGTGCCATGCCTATCAATATCTTCACAAGTTCAGAGGAGGAGGATGTGGACATCTTGCCTCTAACCAATTCTATTTGTTTAAGTTTATTACTATAAAAGTTCCAATACCATCTTACTATTATCTTTTTCTCTACTCCCTATTGAACCCATTCCAGTCAGATTTTTGTCCCGATACTCTGCTGAACCTTTTTTGTGAAAGCCACCAGTGACCTCCAGGAAGCCAAATCCAAGGGGAGTGTTTCAGTCCTAATCTAACCCAAATTTATTATCAACTCTGATCCAGTTGCTTCCTCCCACTTTCTTGAGGTGATTTCTTTCTTGGCTGCTCAGATCTCTTCTCTAGCTATATTCTCTTTCCAGATGATTTCATCCAGTTTCATGGCTATAAATACTGTCTGCATACTGGCAATTCCCAAATTATATGTTTAGTCAGGACTGCCCACCCAAATTCCAGACTTGCATAATTAACTATTGAGTGTCACCATTTAGATAGATAATAGGCATCATAAAAATTGATTTTCAACCCAAACCTGCTTCTTCTCCTGTATTCTTCATCTCAGGAAATGGCTCCATCATTCACATAGGTACTCAGACAGAAAAACATTGGAATCATCCTTGATGTCTCCCTCTCTCTATGCTTCACATTCATTCCATCGTAATTCACAAAATAAGTATTTATCTGACCACTTATTATCGCCATTATTATTAACCTGATGCAAGGCATAAACTTCTCTTACTTAAGATTATTGCAAAAGCTGTTTAATTGTACCCCTCCTTAAAATCTTGCCAGCTCCATCTCCTAAATATATGCTCCAGACACCAGGTGATCCTTTAAAGAATCATGTTCCTCCCTTACCCTAAACCCTGAGAAGGATACATTCACATAACTCTAGCCTGAAATCCGAAGTCCCTCTCATGGCCTACAGGCTCTACCTGATCCTGCTTGTGGCCCTCTCCCTGACGTCATTTCCCAGTCATTTTGCCTTGCTTGCTGCTCACTAGCCATGCTAGCAGTTCTACTCCTCTAACATGTTCAGCATGTTCTTGTGTAAGGTTCCCTCTATGTAGAATTCTATTCCCCTCTATACCACCAAGGTTAGCTCTACCTCACTCACAGTTCATTTCAGTTCAGTCGCTCAGTTGTGTCTGACTTGTTGCAATCCCACGGACTACATCACACCAGGCTTCCCTGTCCATCACCAACTCCCGGAGTTTACTCAAACTCATGTCCATCCAGTCGGTGATGCTATCCAACCATCTCATCCTCTGTCGTCCCCTTCTCCTCCCACCTTCAATCTTTCCCAGCATCAGGTTCTTTTCCAACGACTCAGCTCTTCGCATCAGGTGGCCAAAGTATTGGAGTTTCAGCTTCACTATCAGTCCTTCCAATGAATATTCAGGACTGATTTACTTTAGGACTGACTGGTTGGATCTCCTTTCAGTCCAAGGTACTGTCAAGAGTCTTCTCCAACACCACAGTTCAAAAGCATCAATTCTGCAGTGCTCAGCTTTCTTTATAGCCCACCTCTCACATCCATAAATGACTACTGGAAAAACCAGAGCTTTGACTAGATGGACATTTGTTGGCAAAGTAATGTCTCTGCTGTTTAATATGCTATCTCGGTTGGTCATAGGTGTCTTCCAAGGAGCAAGTGTCTTTTAATTTCATGGCTGTAGTCACCATCTGCATTGATTTTGGAGCCCAAAAATATAAAGTCTCTCACTGTTCTCCATGGTTTCCCCATCTATTTGCCATGAGGTGATGGGACCACATGCCATGATCTTAGTTTTCTGAATGTTGAGTTTTAAGCCAACTTTTTCACTCTCCTCTTTCACTTTCATCAAGAAACTCTTTAATTCTTCACTTTCTGCCATAAGGGTGGTGTCACCTGCATATCTGAGGTTATTGATATCTCTCCCAGCAATACTGATTCCAGCTTGTGCTTCCTCCAGCCCAGCGTTTTTCATGATGTACTCTGCATGTAAGCAATATACAGCCTTGATGTACTCCTTTTCCTATTTGGGACCAGTCTGTTGTTCCATGTCCAGTTCTAACTGTTGCTTCCTGACCTGCATACAGATTTCTCAACAGGCAGGTCAGGTGGTCTGGTATGCCCATCTCTTTCAGAATTTTCCACAGTTTGTTGTGATCCACACAGTCAAAGGCTTTGGCATAGTCAAGAAAGCAGAAGTAGATGTCTTTCTGGAACTCTCTTGCTTTCTTGATGATCCAGCAGATGTTGGTAATCTGTTCCTCTAAATACAGCTTGAACATCTGGAAGTTCACAGTTCACGTACTGTTGAAGCCTGGCTTGGAGAATTTTGAGCACTACTTTGCTAGTGTGTGAGATGAGTGCAATTGTGTGTGGTAGTTTGAACATTCTTTGACATTGCCCTTTTTGGGACTGGGATGAAAACTGACCTTTTCCAGTCCTGAGGCCACTGTACCTCACTCACATATGTCTCCAAATATCAGTTTCTCAGAGCCCTTCTCTGAGCACTTCACCTCTCTGTCTAAAATAATACTCCCGTCACTCTCTGTCCCTTACCACGCTCTGATTTTCATTCAGTGCTATCTGATATTATTGTATGTTAACTATCTAATATTATAGTCTTGTTTTAAAATCTGTAATTCTCACTGAAGTTTAAGTTCCATAGTGGCAGACAGTTAGTTTTGTTTTTTATTGTATCCCTAGCAAAGAAAGCAGTACCTAGCACATAGTAGGGGCTCAATAAATTGAACAATTGAATACTTTTTCCTTTGTTATTTTGATCTGCCGCTATGTACCTTATTTTAATTTCAAAGGGCACAAATTAAGGACAATTTCTACCTCCAAGAATTCTCTTGATCTAAAAGAACAGACATTTATGCACACAAATAATTACAATGTAGGGTACAAATTTATATGTAGTGGAGATTTATAGGTAGTGGAGATTATTACTAGAAAAAATTGGGAGGAAATTTAACATAAACAGAATTTAAAAGAATGAACTGAAGTTTATCAGCATATGTAAGTAGAGTGAAAGGGAAGGTATTCTAAGATAGTATCAGTGGTATGTGTACAGGCAGAGAGGCATGAAATGGCAGGTTGTATTTGGGGGTCTGTAAAGAGTTCAGTATGCTGGAATAAGTGGTATGGTGAGAGAGAGTTGGTAAAGATGATGTAGGTAAACAGGAAGGACTCAGGATATGAATAGCCTTACATGCCATGCTCAGGTGTGCTCTGAGGAAGCTCTAAAGACATTAAAGGTGGAATTGATTTGATTTTCATTCTGGTCACTTTACTTCCATTTCAGAAATGCCACTCTAGCAGCCTTATTGGTGCCAGAGGTAAGAGATTCATCTTGAAATAGTCCAGATGAGAGGTGATGAGAGCATGGAGTAGAAATACTTGATAAAAGGATGTATGCTGCTGATATACTCAGTCGTGGCCGACTCTTTGCGATCCCATGGAGTGTGGTCCACCAGGTTCCTCTGTCCATGGAATTTTCCAGGCAAGAATACTGGAGTGGGTGGCCATTTCCTTCTTCAAAAGGATGTATGAGACTGTCATAATTTTATGAAAACAATTTTTTTTATGACCATACAACTTTTGGTTTTGTCTCTATACTTAGAGAAACAGCTTTCTAATATAAATCTGGTTTCACCAACAGACACTCTCATTGGGAAAAGAATATACTGATCATACAATTTAAGTAATCCAGTTGGGATTGTAGTTTACTTTTTATATTTACCATCTGCCTCATGAGCTTTGCTAGTAAAGCCAATTCTTTAGAGACCAATCACCCCTTTAAAAAGTGATAACTTTAATTTCTGAACATGCAGAACTGAGAATAAGACCCTTTAGTAACATCTCCAAAGTACAGAGATCCTTCTAAGTCTTAAATAGAATTACTATTTATGAGAGGTATTATTAATTGTAAACTTTTTACACCATTCTACAAAAATTTAGAATTTATTAGGAATTTCAGCAAAACAAGCTCCTGAACTATATACAGCTAACACATAATTTGAATAATAAAATATCTTACTTTGTTTTTAAATACACTGAATTTATTTCCAGTAGCATTCTCATTAAAAACAGTGAAGTATTTTCATTTATTAAAAATGTATTTATCAATAAAATACATAATAAAGTATTATTTATAGCATAAATGTAAATCAGTTATCTCCATTGTTCATGTTATTTGATGGTTATAGTATTTTAATAGTTAACAAACACATAAATATATATTTACAGGAGATTCTAAAAAATAATGATCCCATTTAATAGTTACTGTTATACTCATCAGTATTTTCTCTGTGATCTGGATCCAACATCAGGAGATGGACTGGTCCTTGGCTGGCTATTCTGTAACATAATTTCAGAATATATTCTTTTACTGTAGTGTTCATAGACTTTAAGGTAAAATCTGTTAGGTGGAGCTCCTTACACATTACAGATTTTAATAAGACTAAACTTGTAATTCAATTTCTCAAATGCTGCATAAACATCAATCTCAACATGATGACTATCACTTTATATAATGCATCATACTAATTATAATGGCTCATAATCTTTACTGTTTACTACTGGTAAGATGTACTTAGAGGTGCTTTTTAAAAATCATAACCTGCTGTGTAAATGGTCAAAATGTAATAATTTTATTTTCTACAGGAATCACTTGGAGCCCATATAATACCTTAGTAGTAGTTTAACAATGTTAGGCTAAAGAAGTTCTTGGGAAGGTAATTGTTAAAAATTCATTAAATTTATTTTATTTAAAAAGCAGGTAAAATATTCCAAACTGAAAATTCTGCTTCTAAGATTCCTAGTTTTTATATTGAAAAATCATGGGAGGGCCTGGAGTAACCCTTTTATCCTATATTGTTTGAATTTTATCTGTATCATCTGTGTTATAATGCAAACTACTTGAGGAAAGGAAAGCGTTTTCTGCTTTCAAGTCCCAGCCTGACACAGGGTAAGAACTAAGGCTATATTTGTTCAGTGAATAAAAATAGGCAAATATAATAATTTTACAAAAAGAAAAAATCAGACTGCTATGGTTGCCAAACAGAAGAACTTCTAAATTTTGGGTAAAACAAAGTCTGAGCTGGGTAAGCCTATCAGGGTGATGACCCAAGTCAAGTCTTAAAGAACAGTAGGAGAGGGGCATTTGGGGGCAGTCCTGTGAGGCAGTGGGAGCAGCATGGGCCCGGGATGCTGCAAGAAGTTCCAGGGGGACCTGCTTCTTCCTCAAGAGTATGTAAATCACGACCTGTGGAGCAACTGGAGATGAGGGTGAAAAGCTCTTGAATGTAGTTCTCTGGAGTTTTTTAAAAATTACTTTTCATTATCTATTTATTTATTTTTGGTTGCCCTGGGTCTTTGTTGCTGCACCGGCTTTTTCAAGCTGTGGCAAACAGTGGCTGCTCTTTGCTGCATTAGGGTGACTTCTCTTGTTGCAGAACACAGGCTCTAGGTGAAGGGGCTTCAGCAGCTGCAGCCTGTGGGCTCTGCAGTTATGGTTCATAGGCCCTCGAGCATAGGCTCAGTCGTTGTGGTGCATGGGCTTAGCTGCTCTGTGGCATGTGGAATCTTCCTGGGCCGGGGATCGAACCCTGTCCCCTGCAGCAGCAGACGGATTCTTATTCAAGGTACCACCAGGGAAGTCTTAATTTTATCTTTCAGGTGATGGGTAACTACTGAGGTTGGGTTTTAAGAGAGTGTTACGTTCATACTTGCACTTTAAAAAGATTGGTGATGGTGTGAAGACGCAGTGGTGAGAGCAAAAAGGGAGGCTGTTGAAATGGTCTAGATGAGACATGATGAATTCTTAAACTAAGGTAATAGTAGAAATGGAGAGGAGTCAGCAGATTTGAGATGTACTTTATTATTAGGAGGATTTATTGACTAGGGGTTAAGGGAGAATGAGAAGCCTGGATAAGATACAAATTTCTCTCTGAGAAATCTGGTGGATAATGGTGTCATTGATTGAAACAAGGATTATAAAAAGTAGAACAGATTTTGGGGGGAGGATGGGAAAGTGTAAACCCTGACTCATCACTGAATAGTTCTGAGAGTTGAGAAAATCAGTTAATGTTGCCAACTTAGAAGATTAAAGAGAAGAATATCTATGAGACCATTTGGTACAGTGCTTTTCAATGGTAGGAGCCTCGTAAGTGTGAGTTTCCTTTCTTCTTATATCTCGAAAATGTTCAGTTGCCACAAAGACTATAATTGATTGAATGTTAGCACTCAGGGGCTTCCCAGGTGGTGCAGTGGTAAAGAGTCTGCCTGCCAGTGCAGGAGATACAGGTTCGATCCCTCGGTTAGGAAGATCCCCTGGAGAAGGAAATGGCAACCTACTCCAGTATTCTTGCCTGGAGAATTCCATGGACAGGAGCCTGGCGGGCTGCAGTCCATGGGTTTGGAGTTGGACACGACTGAGTGAGTACACAGCAACATTAACACTTAGGAGCTTCCTAGGTGGCCGGGTGGCTGGGAGCCCACAGGCTGTGGGTGTGGTCGTGGTCGGGAAACCAAGACCTCAGCTGACAGGACAGCTGAGCCAGTGTGCTCTGGAGCCCGCGCTCTGCAACCAGAGGAGCCTGTGCGCCCACAACTGGAGAAAGCCTGCGCAGCCAAAGCAAACAAACAGATAAACAACACTCAGTAGAGGCCTTTGGAAGAACTCCAGAGACAGTGGTACTTTTATGGACTATAAAATCCTTAGAATATTAAAAAAAGTCTCAGGCTCACTGCATTTAACTGAAGTCTGAAAAATTTGGATAATTTATATATTCACAGATCATGTATAAAAAAGCCATATAATCTCAACCAATATTTTCAAGTATTTAATATGTGCAAATTTCTATGAAGTGGGCAGATAAGTGAAAAAAAAGCCTCTAAGATCCAAAAAAGATTATTCACTTAGAAAGACAACTAACAAAGCACATATGGAGTATATATGTGTAAAACCAGATATACTGCAGTAATAAGTTCAGAGGAGGCTTAGAGTATCATAGATGGATTGGTCACAGGATGCTTCATGGGAGAAGTAACATTAAACTGCAGCTTAGAGGGTTGTGTCTGAAGAGTAGAGCAAAAATATAGTGCAGATGGGAATTGAGCAAAAACCTAAGTAAAGCATGAGAAAAACACGAAAGCAGAGCAGAGCATTGCAAACTTGATTCACATTAAATACATTAAACATGTTTGGCTGGAATGGAAGATCAACATGGTACATTGTGGGATTAAAAATTGTTGTTAGAATAATTCCTATTTTTTTAGAAAAGAAGTTACACTTTGCATGTAAATTTCATGTAAATACTTTTTGGAATGTCACTTTTTTGGATATAATTTAAACTAGTAAGATGACCATGTTTGTTCGTTGCTCAGTCGTGTCTGACTTTTTGTGATCCTATCGACTGTAGCCCACCAGGCTCCTCTGTCCATGGGATTCTCCAAGCAGGAATACTGGAGTGGGTTGCCATTTCCTTCTCCAGGGGATCTTCCTGACCCACGGATTGAACCTAGTCTCCCACATTGCAGGCGGATTCTTTACCGTCTGAGCCACCTGGGAAGCTGAGGTGGCAATAATAATAACAACAGTGCAAATGAACATGTACTTAGCACATGCTATGTTATAGGTTCTGTTCTAAGTGCTTTACATGGGTGATTATCTCACATAATGCTTATCAGTACTCTATGGGGGTGGATACTATTCAAGTGATTATGAGTGTTCAATGAAGGAATACAGGAAAGAGTGGGTTGAATACTTTTCTTCTGAAAAATCTCAGAACAGCACTTGCTCTAAGCAATAGCAGTTGACTGTGCTATGAAAGATACTGACGTGGCTCTCCTGCTCAAAATTATTCCTCTAACCCAAGTATTAAAGTGCCCAAAATCCCACTATTAGAAATCCATTATTGTTCTTTCTAGATAATGGTTTCAAATGATTTAAATGGTTCTACACCATTCAGAATGATTTTTTAAAATGATAAAGTGTCTTTTAAAATTCATACTAAACACATTAGGAAGAAAAAATACATCAGTTTACTTCTATGCCTGAGATGAGAAACCCAGATCAACACTATCAAACACTGGTGTGGGGGAAATATCCCAAAGGGCAATAGAATGGGGTAAACACGAAACAGCAACAACAATAAAACCATATATGTGGGGTGGGGGGGTGGTGGATTAATATATAAACTTCACTCAGGTTGTGAATTTTCCAGAGAGATATACAACTTCTGGGAATGAAATATCAGTTCTCCAATGTTAAACCAATGACATTTGGGTTTTTAGTACTGGGGTGGGTACCTGATAGATATTATACAATTAGTGTTGCTAGGTGGAGAAACTCAGTTTCTGAATTAACTACAAAATACTTGTACATTGTAAAGCTATAATATAGCATTATAATTTAAAAACAAAATGCTTGTTCATATGGATAGGAAAAACATTGGAGATGAATGAAAAATAAAAAACACTGATAAAAAGCTTATCTGCAATATCCCCAAAATAACAAATACTTTTGAATAGACATTTTTGCCATTTAAAGAGATAGAAATATTTTTTGGAAAAATCTCTATTGACTAGAAATAGGCTATACTACAGGTGTCCTGGTAAATACAATTTTAATGGTCTCTTGTACATACAGAAAGTGTAAGAATATGGTTATATATTGCCTTTTTAAAACTTTCATATTAAATAATTTTACATATATAAAACACAATGAAGATCCAAGAACAAATTCTGAAATCTTTTAAAAGACCAAAGTACATGGAAAGCCCATGCACATTATTCCAAAGGCAGGCACTAAGCCTGGACATCTAAAAGTGTGGACGTCTGTTTTCAGGACTATAAATAACAAGCAGTTCAACAGAAGAGGCGAAGGCAAGGTACAGGTGGAAATAAGCCCAAGTGATTAAAAGAAAAACAGGCTACAAAAACATAAACTGAGAACTCTGCATTCATAATAACCTGAATAAAAAAATAAAAAAATAACCTGAATCCAGTCATGAGAAAACAATCAGAAAAATCCAGATTACAGGGTATTCAGTATAACCCATCCGGAAGCTTTGCAAGTGTCAATGTAGATGAAAGATTGAAAAAGAAAAGAAACTTTTCTAGGTTAAAGATATGACAACCAAATGCAACATTATAATCTTGGGTTAGATCCTGGATCAGAGAAATAAAATAGCCACAGAGAGTTTTTTTTTAGACAACTGAAGAACTTTGAATGTGGAATGTGTATCAAATAATAAGTGATATTAAATTTCTTGGGTGTGATGATGATATTGTGGTTATGTAGGTGAATTTCTGTATGCTGGGGTATCAGAGGGGAAGTATCACCATGTCTACACTTTAAAGCAGTTCATTAAAATATGTGTTTGTGTGTAATTATGCATCTTCTGTTCCATCTACCCTGTCCTATCTGAGCCCATGTATTCTACTTTGCTCTTTCATCTGTCCATCCATCCATCCATCAGATAAACCAAGGACGGCAAAATGTCAACAGCTGGTGAATCTAAATGAAGAGTAAAATAACATAAAATAAAAGCAGCAGACAGAAGGGCAAACAAAAATAAAATGCTCAAATCTCCAGGCAGAATATGACAAATGAAACCGTATTGATGGAGGAGGGGAATGGAGTAATTTTGATGTTATAATTCTGTGAATTTATACCATTTTCCCTGAGAAAGGGAGGTTGCTGACCTATGTTACTGATGCTAAAATAAGGAAGAGTAATGTGTTTGGAAAGAAAGTGAATGGTTACCATCTGTCAATTGATGAAATGCTCTCAATGTAAAAATCTTTGTATTATGATTTTTTAAATTAGAGAATATTTGCTTGATTCTAATAAAAATCTTATAATTAAAAAGTTGATTAGGGAGAAAAGCTTCCTAAAAGTCAGTCTCAAGAAAAATTATCAATAAAGAATTCTTACATATAAAAACATGATGTTTCCTAAAAGAAGAAAACAAAAAATACTCTGAAAATACTTACCAGAAGTGGTATTATTTGTAAAGTACTTTTGATGGATGGATTTTTGCAAATGATTTCTTGTATATCTGAAATAATTATACCATGATATATAAATAATTTAGTTATGTATATTGAAAGGACTGGCTAAAGAATCAAATATTAAATTCTGATGTGTCAAAATATTCTAAACTGAATAAGAAACTTTTTTCCTTATTGTCCTCAGAAACAATCAAGAGTTAATTTGATTAAAAACAATTATTATACACAAAATTTATGTTCCTAAAAAGACATTCTTAGTACTTTGACTGTCCCATATCAATCTATTCAAATGCTAGGTTATTTTTTCTTTAAAGTTTTTCTATCTTCTTGTGTGTTTTTTAAAAATTTTCCTATCTTCTTTTTAAACAAAAAACAAATTTCATTCTTGGAGGATCTCAGGAAAAAGGAGGAGATGTTTAGCTACTGAGGTGCAAAAAGTTTAGTAATTTGGTCAGCTCTTGCCTTTTCAATGTTTTTGCTTTTGTCCATATAACAGCAAGGATCTGGGCAGAAGAAAAAAATTAAGACAGAATCTTTTATATGAAGCATTTAAGATGTGTGGAAGTATCTAAAGGAAAAAAAGAACCCTCCAAAAAAACTGACTCAATGCTTTCATTCTTTATCTACTTAATTTTTGAAGAAGGAAATGGCAACCCACTCCAGTAATCTTGTCTGGAAAATGCCATGGACAGAGAAGCCTGGTGAGCTATGGTCCATGGGGCCACAAAGAGTTGGACCTTACTGAGCACAGCACAACTGCATAATTTTACATCTTAAACCTACAGCTTTAGTTATGTATTGCTTTTGTAGATTCAGCACCCTGTCTTTTATTAATGTATTATTTAATTTTGAAATTAACACAAAGAGTATGTAAAAAATACGTGCATATTTTAGTTAGTAATAATAAAGCTAATGTCTTGTAACTGCCTAGACTAAGACATTTGAACATTATCACTTTGGAGAAATCCTGGAATTCCCTATCTCAGCTGCCCTGGGGGCTGTACTCTCTTCCCTTGCTCACAGAGGTAATGCACTAAACTGGCTTTGCTTCTTTATATATATGTTTAAAAATTTTTGGCTTTTGTTGTTATGATCATCTCTATCCCCTGGAGAAGGGAATGGCAACCCACTCCAGTATTGTTGCCTAGAGAATCCCATGGACAGAGGAACTTAATGGGCTACACTTCATGGGGTTGAAAAGAGTAGGACACGACTAAGCAACTAACACACACACACACACTACACATACTTATACATGTTTCCTGATACACATGTGCAGTTTTCTCTAGATATGCACCTAGAAGTAAAATTGCTAGGTTGGAGGGTATGTTCAATTTATTACATGGGTAGCAAAACATTTCCTAAAAGATTGCCTCAGTTTACATTCCCATCAGCATTATCAGAGAGCTCTAATTGCTGTATGTCTTTGCCAACACTTAGCATTGCCACACTTTTAAATTCATGTCTTTTGATGAGTTTATAACTGTATCTCATTTTATTTTGCATTACTAATAATGCTGAATAATCTATTAGTGTTTATTATCATTTGCATTTTCTTTGTTGTGAAGTTCCTGTTCATTTTCCCACACCTATTTTTCTACTAAATTGACTTTTCTTATTGATATATAGTTCTTTATATATTTGAACAATGTATTAAATTTTCTTTTGTTTTGTGGCCTACCTTTTCATTCTTTTAATGTTCTGATATGAAGAAAAGTTTCTAACTTTAATACAGTCAAATTTATTATCTTTTTCCTCCATAGATTATGATCCTTGTGCTCTACTTAAGAAATCCTTTCTTGAAATCCTGAGATTACAAATATTTTCTATGCTACCTCCTAAAAGCTTTATATATATTTTTCATATTTAATCTTTAATCACTTTGTAACTGATTTTTACATATATTATGTAGTAGGAGCTCAATTTAATTTCTATTTGGTGACCAATTGTTGCAATATGAAGTGACAAACAACTTGTCTCAAAATGACCCCAGTTCTTCATAGCTCTTTGGAACCCAAGAACAGGTTCTCATCCCATGTGAAAGGGTTTTACCTAAATCCAATCAGTAGCTCATTCCAGTGAAAAAGGCTGCAGTTTCTCACACTGGGATCCCAATCAGATGTTTGTGAGATGGGTTTGTATTGTCCCATGGCTCTTAGATCCTCTGTTCTGGTGTTTTCCTTCAAACGTTTTGTTTTTTCTCTTGGTGTTTCAGTTTGGAAATTTTCTCTCACTTATCTTCAGATTCATAAATTCTTTTCTCAGCTTTGTTGAATCTACTGACAAGTACATAGAATACATTACTCGTTTCTGTTGCAGTGTTCCTATTTCTCACATTTCTATCTGACCCTTTTGTATGGTTTCCATCTCTCCATTGAATTTCTTTATCTGTTCAGCCTTGTAATCTCCCATGTGGCCCAGCTTTTCCACTATCATCTTTAACATATTAGTCATATTAGTCATAGTTATTTAAAATTATCTATCCAACAGTTTCAATATCCGGGCCACCTGTGTCTCACTCTGTTCATTGCTTTGTCCCTTGACTGTGAGTTTTTTCCCTTGCTTTTTAAGTTTTGACTGAATGCTGAACATCTTGTTTGAGGTAAGTATGTTTGTGCCAGAAAATGGGCATGTCTTTTCTGTAAGACAATTGGTGTGTATGTATGTGTGTGTGTGTCATTAGTCAACTCAGTTTGAGTCTTACTGTTGCTATGGTTACCTTCAGTGCATCAATGGTTTCAAAATCCTTCAGTGTTATTTTGTGCTTCTGCAGGTGTCAGGTTTCCCCCTTGAGTTTTCCCTCTACTTTCAGGTTCTGCCTCCCGTGTGTCCGCACAGCGTTAGGGTTAGGGTTAGGGTTAGGGTTAGGGTTAGGGTTAGGCACCACAAGGCTCTCTGTGCTCTTGCTTTTCTCCAGCTGCTTCCCACTGCTTGTTTTTTGGTACCTGCTGGCCTTGTAGCGGGGCAGTGGTGGAGTTTTTCTGTTGTCCGGCTCCAGGCTTAGTCTTAGGCATGTCTTTTATGCCTCCTCAGTCATTCTGCTCCTCCTTTCCAGGGCAGTCCACCTTGTCCACTATATCTTTGGAAGGTTTTGTGCAAGACAATTTTGTGCCCCTTCTCCGATAGCATGATACCTCTAATAATCTGGGTCTCTGCCTCCTTTTTGCCCCTTCTCCAAGAGTAGAAGCCTGCTTCTCTTACCTTTCCACTACACCCAGTAAGTCTTCACTTGTGCCCTGGGGGCAATCAGCAGTTTGCTGCCTCTATCCCAATACCTGTGTGTGTGCTCAGTTGCTCAGTTGTGTCCAAATCATTGCACCCCAGTGGACTGCAGCCCACGAGGTTCCTCTGCCCATGGGATTTTTCAGGCAAGAATACTGGAGTGGATGCCATTTCCCACTCCAGGGGATCTTCCTGACCCTTCCTGACCCAGGCATCAAAAGCACTTGTCTTGGCAGGTAGATTCTTTACCTCTAGTGCTACCTGGGAAGCCCAGACCTTCATTCTGCAGGAAAGAAGGTTCTGCACGGAGCTTGATACCTTTCCTACAGTGATGCCTGCTCCCCTTCTCCAAGACTGCACCACTGAGAAAGAATTTCTCTAGTCTCCTGTTCTGCTCTTATATATCAATTTTTTCAGTCGACTTGTTCTATCAATTACTGATTGTAATTAATTATAATTAATGTTAAAATATCTGCTAATCATGGCTAAAAAACACTTTATACATTTTGAGGCTATGTTTTTAAATGTTTATACAATGAAAATATTTTATAGATTTTTCCTGTATTAAAACTTTGATCATCATGAAGTCATCTTTTTTTATGTCTAGTAATGTTTTCTGCTTTATAGTCAATTTCATCTGATAATAATTCATCTAAACTAGTTTTCCTCTGTGACCTTAGTAATTAGCACAGACATACTTTATTTGTCAACATCTAAAGTTAATTTCTGTTTCTCATGGACAGGGAGCCTGATAGGCTGCAGCCCATAGGATTGCTAAGAGTAGGACATGAATCTTTACTCAATTCCATAACCATACAAGAATTCCAGTACACTTTAATACCAGTTATGTTTTCCAATTTATGTAATATTTTTGATAGGTAAATTCTGTTTTCTCTTTGAATCACATACTACTTTTTAACTACATTTATTATTTTTTTTATACAATATTTGTTCAAATTTACCCTTTCAGGCTATCCATCTGAGATCACTTTTGGTTTGCTAAACTACATTCTTTAGAATTTCCTTTAGTAAGAGACTGTTGTTGACAAAAACCTCTTAAAGAGTTACATAGACATACAGAGACATACAGAGGGGTGAAAAAAGCTTGCATGTCTTTGCCCCTCATCTGTTTAATTCTGAGACTTGTTAGGCAAGCTTTTTTTTTTTTTCAGCCTCTCTCTGTTTCTCCCGGAGTGTGAGACTGCATAGGATGTAGCTCCTCGGTAGGCCCTACTTTAGGGTGGGAGGGTCTTCCATGAGACTACTCATCTTAAGTAGGCCATGGATTTTGTCTTGTTCTCATTTTTCCGTGAGGCCATGAAAACAAAGCTCAATTTCACTCTGTGGGTTAAATGTTCTCAAGAGAAAAGCTAGCAGCAGCACTCTCTTTATCACTCTAGGCTCTTATTTATATTTAGTTCCTGGTCCTATGAATTTCTGTATTCTTACCATCTTATTGTTATATTTAAGATTTTGAAGTACATAATCCTGAATTTATGGTTGTTTTTGATGGATTAAGTACGGAGGATGAGATGATTGGATGGGATCACTGACTCAGTGGACATGAGTTTGAGCAAACTCAGGAAGACAGTGAAGGATGGGGAGGCCTGACATGCTGCAGTTCATGGGCTGACAAAGAGTTGGACATGACTTAGTGACTGAATGGCAACAATCCTGAATTTATGGTTGTTTTAGATGGATGGTAAGTACAGATAACTAGCTTGTCACATTGCTGAAATGGAAGTGTATTCACACATTGCCAAAAGACAGTTAAGCCTGCCAGTGAAACTGGTACCATTGTAAATGATATGAATATAGTATACTTGAAATAGTATATACATTCAGATAAATTTTAAATTGTTATATACTTGATTCAAATAGGTGATAAGCTGGACACATTTTGCATTTTCATTTTCAATTTTTAAATTAAATTTTAAACAAAAATTGTCTAAGAATAAAATACAAAATTTCCTGTATACAAAAAGTGTTCTTCCATACTTACAGTATAACCTTTCATTGAGATGATTGAGGGACTGTAGGATCTTTTTTTCTTCAGCTGATAGTGCACAGATGTTAAATTGCTGCATTTTATTTAAAGACAGATTTGTCTGCTGTAGCTGCTTGCTATTCATGACAGTTAGAATCTCATCCTCAGGCACTGAAGCTTTCACTAGATTTTCAGCCATCAAAAATTCAGAAGTACTGCCTGAAACTACAGAAACTTTATATTAACTATTCTTTGATCCCTTTTTGTCTTTGGGATCTGTCCTTATACATACTTAACTGACACGCCTGTATGTATTAATTTCACAAACAGAAACCCAGTATATCTTTTGTTACTTTGCATTTTATTTATCAGGGTCTTCTATATCTAGTATTTTCCTATCCTTAATGAAAAAACAGATACTCAAAATGATGGCAGTGAGGTAATAAAAGTTCATAGAGTGTTAGTTGAACTAAGGAAAAAATACATTATGTATATGTAGATTATTTCTGTGTTGTTTTTATTATTCATTGGTAGAATAAAGAGATGAAGGAGACTGTCTTATAATAGCAATTATGATGATAAGAGAAAAGGAACTTGTGGAAATTTTAGAAAATTAGATGATCAGCTGGACAGAACTGAAAGCTTAGAAACTGACCAAATAAAAGACCATATGACTAAAGAAGGATCAAATACTTGAAAGAAGATAAGTCAAATAACTTAGCTTGTTGCTTATAAAATAAGCACTTTGGAGTTTCACTTCACATCATCTATTTAAACAAATTTCAAAGGAATTAAAGAGCTAAGTTTAACAAATCAAATCATTAAAGTAATCTAGAGGGAAAAAAACATTTCTAACTTTCTTCATTGGAAGTTTCTTTGGTAATGCACAAATCGCTAAGACAAAACCAAAAACAAATTTTTTAAGGTTGGTCTTCCCTAATAGATTTTAAATTCTGAAGGCCAAGACTTTTATATGTTTGGTTAATTATTATGTATCCAAAATATTTAGTTGCAGGCAGGAAATTAGCTCTCAATAATTATTTATTGAATGGAAAAATGTAAAGTAAGACTTCTATATGTGAAAATAAAGCATAAGTGGAATAAAATGCACATAATAAAGTAGTTAAAAACATTTGTAACCAGCATAAGGATCAGAATCCTTGATATTTAAAGAGTGTGCAGAAATGAGTGAGAAAATACTAAAACTCCAATATTTATAGGAAACAAGAATATGAAGAAATAATTCACCAAAATAAATACACATACAGAAACAATTAAGCTTATTATTTGTAAAAGGTACTCAAATAAAAACTAATAACAAACCATTTCTCTGCCAAATATGCAAATAATAGATGTAATATTTACCTCAAGTTCACATACATCCAGAAGAATTTTGAATGATAATACTTTTCAGGAAAATGCTACAGGAATATATAAAATAAGCCACAACAAAATTTATTTCCTTTGACCTAGTACTCATTTAATACACAGTTTCATTCAATACATATTAGTTGGGTGCCAATTAAGCCAGGTACTCTAATTTTAATTCTGGATATATAAATATGGAAATCATCGAATAGTCAGGAAAAAATCTGATGTAGAAAGATGTTCAATATATTATTATTTAGAACAAATAAAAACTGCTAACAGTCTAAATGTGCAGGGTGAGGAGAATTCAGGTCCTAATTAGTGGTATAACAGTCATGTAAGAACTTTGGAAAATATGTATAAGAACAACAAAAAAGAAATCATTGGAAACAAAGCTAAGAGAAAAATGTTTAAACTAAAACATACCTTCTTCAATATTAGAAGTACCCTTTGTAGTTTGTTTTGGCTCATTTGAACTTAGCTGGATACTTTGCCCAAAATTCTATAAAAATAGAATATTAAATCAGAATATAATTCCATATTTAAAATTAGTGATATATATTGGCTTAAAAACTTTTATTTGCTGTTTTTGTTTTCAATGATCATTATTCATATAATACATATTTCCTTTTTTTTTTTTGGAGCAGAAATTAAGAATTACTGGAATAAGCCCTTTCTATGGTAACTAAATGGCTTTCCTGATAGCTCAGTAGGTAAAGAATCCGCCTGCAGTGACTGATCCGCCTGTTTGATTCCTGGGTCAGGAAGATTCCCTGGAGAAGGAATACGCTACCCACTCCAGTATTCTTGGGCTTCCCTTGGGACTCAGCTGGTAAAGAATCTGCCTGCAATGCGGGAGACCTAGATTCGATCCCTGAGTTGGGAAGATGCCTTGGAGAAGGGAAAGGCTAGCCTGGAGAATTCCATGCACTGTATAGTCCATGGGGTCCCAAAGAGTTGGACATGACTGAGTAACTTCCACTTTCATGTAACTAAAGATTAGAAAAATGTTTTCTGTCAATTTTGGTACATTTTCAGATTGCACTATCATCTCGGACATTTGGAAGAGGGAAGTAAGTTGGGTGTTAATCAAAAGTATTAACTAAAGGAAAGGTAAAAAATTACCCTAAGGCTGGTTTATCATTGTAAGGGTAGGTGACAATTATTAGCCAAAATCTCTGATTCTGGCTTTATGCCAAGGATAAGCAAGCATCTTACATGACAATACTTAAAAAAGAAACAGCTGCCTCAATTCTGTACAGAACTGGGAAATAAGAAATATTAGAGCACTGGCAACTAGCATTTCTATTCAACACTCGAGTGATACCAACTCTCCTTCCCTGGATATGGTCTCCTTTGATTCTTTATGCTCATTCTGTTCCACTTTAAGAAATGATTCTTAGATTAAGTTGCCTGACTATTACTATACCTAGCCTTTGTTCAGTCTAATTGGAAGAGGAACTGAGGGAGGTTTCTGCAAAAACCCTGCTTCAATAGCTCTCATAGCCTTGCCTGATCTCCATTATAGACTTGAGGCAACCTGGACTGAGACCATGGCACAAAGTGGCAATTGTGCTTTTTTTATCTTTCATTGTGTTGGAGAAGACTCTTGAGAGTCCCTTGGACTGCAAGGAGATCCAACCAGTCCATTCTAAAGGAGATCAGTCCTGGGTGTTCATTGGAAGGACTGATGTTGATGCTGAAACTCCAATTCTTTGGCCACCTGATGTGAAGAGCTGACTTACTTGAAAAGACCCTGATCTGGGAATGATTGAGGGCAGGAGGAGAAGGGGACGACAGAGGACGAGATGGTTGGATGGCATCCACCAACTCAATGGACATGAGTTTGAGTAAACTCTGAGAGTTAATGATGGACAGGGAGGCCTGGCGGTTCATGCGGTCACAGAGTCGGATACGACTGAGCGACTGAACTGAACTGACCTCTTTTAGATTCTCTCCACACAGAAGCAGTGGTTGGGAAAAATCCAGTGTGATAAAATACATTTCCTAATAACAAGATGACAGAGCCAGTGCTATAGTAACTGAATCCTTGTTTACCCTCTTGAGTGAAAATAAAACCAAACTCAACCCCAAACCAAAAATCAAAACGAAACAATAGGGATGAAAAAAATTTAAACTTCAAAACTTTGTTTTGAGTCAGGAAACACTAACCTATTTTAAAGCTAACAAGACTTTTGTAGATGTATAAGTGGAGTGAAAGATGTGTATGTGAAAGTGGAAGTGGAGCTTCTGGGAAGAACAGAAATGGACTCTAAAGGCATCAAGATAGAATGCAAAGGAGCAAATCACAGAAGAGCAGAAAAAGACACAGGAAAATAGAGATGAATTTAGAGAGGACAATAGTAATGGCATTTAAAATTCACTTTGTTCATTTTTTGTTATAACTATACATTACTTATAAATTTAATATACATTGATAAAAATAACAAAGATAAAAAATGTGTTCACTTTAGAGATTTCTTTTTTTTTTTTTTCACTTTAGAGATTTCGAGATGTTTGATATGAACAACATGGAGGTTAAAAAGGAAAGATTTATTAGGTATTATTCTATTTGTAATCATGAAGTTATATTTATAATTAAGTACTATGTTTGTTATTAAGCAGTAAAAATGTACTGGTAATGTGACAACATTATTTACATAAATAAAAAAACTAAATTATTTGTTTTGCTAAATCATGGTTGATTATTCTCCATATTAATAACTAGCCATATAAAAATCAATAGTTTCTACAATCTTCAGACAATAGGACTGTCTACCTTTAACTTGAAATACAAATTTTTCATAAAACATTCTATTTCAATTCTATTAAAAATCAGAGGTTGCATTTAATGCTATTCACTCATCCATCTAGTTTTAAAAAATAATTTAAATACAATCCTTGGATCAAATTAGACTGCTAGAAAATGTTATATTTAGGTCACATTTACTTAGCTCTCATAGAATTACCTCCACTAACTTTTAAATCCACATTATTATGCTTATGACCTTTACTGAAGGCCTCTATTTCAAACAGTACAGGAACTCCTTATTTATTTGTTGCTGACTGCTAATAGGGATGTATCTATTATGAACTTCAAGGTCCTGTATAGGAGATCCTCAATGGTATAAACAAAGTCATTGTTGATATTCCCTGATAACAATGCAACACTCTATTTTCCTTCTTGGCATGTCTTCCAGGAAGTTCAGGTTCAAGGAGGACATTTCAACACACTGGAACCATATTAGTCTTTATGATAAGCACATTGCTTTATTTTCCATGGCTCTGGTTTACTTTTCTTTTTTTCCCTTTTTTTAATGTATAGCTAAATATTAATATTGTTGTGAATAAATTCAGCTTTCCCCCAGAGCTGACTATAAGTAATAACAAATAAAATAATGTGACTTCTTAAGCTTGCTTTAAAATATTCATTGGTAACTGATCATTCAGGCAAAGTAGAGTACAGCATTTACGTATAGTATGATAAGCTCCTGGCATAGAGAGTTCCAGGGCTTCACAATGGCTTTGGCTATATCATTTATGTTGTGGAACAGTTTACAGGCAGGGCACAGACCTTTAAGAACATTGTTTTCCAAGCAATTTTTCACTATTGAATAGAGATGTCTACTAATGCTGTACTTACATTCATCTGCTCACTGTACTTCTGTCCTGCAGATCCAGGGTTTTGTCTTTTTTGCTCTAAAAGACTTTTGTGCTTATTTTCGACAATTCGTTTTCTTCTTCTAACACTAGAATCTTAAACAAATACCACGACAAAGTCAAAATTTACACGAGTAGACAGTATATATCCACTGTAAACTTCCAAGTTACCTTCAAACATCACAGAAAACCCTAAGTTTCATTCATTCAGTTGGCAAGCTTTTATTGAACTTCTCTTACATGTATATGCATGACACAGGTACCATAATGATTTAAACATCTCTGCTTTTGAGGGGTCTATAGTTTAGAGCAGTGACCTCTAAAGTGTTGTGGCAGAACACCAGGAGGATATGCAAAATAAATCACTGTTGCACAGGAAGAACATGTTAAAATTTAATTTTCTATTATCTAAATATTAGAAACTTAAAATTTACTGTGGTGAAACATGATTGATACTGGCACCCTTGTGAGTTTGCAAGGTAGATGCATACAGTGCGCATACACGGTATGCACACTGCATACAGTAAACAGTTGTCTTGCAGGAAGTGCAGAGGTTCTAAGTGTGTGAGGCTGGCAGTGTTATCTTCACAAGTGTTCTTTTGTGTCCTTCAATGCACTGAATTTTATGTGTGCCCTGGATTTATGGGTATCTCATAGTATCTGAATGAATCCTTAAAAGTGGAAAAGAGGCTAAAATGACTTTTGTAGGGCTTTTATTGTATGTGTAATGTTTTATTATTATTATTTTATTTATTATTTTCTCTATGGCTAGTTAAAAACATAGTCTTGCAAAATCATAAAGAAAATACTAATAGTGCAAGCACAGGAGAATAACAAAGAGCTGATTCACATCTTATTCTCATTACAAACTTTGCCACACAATAACAATGACAGAATAGTTACATTATAATAAAGGATCACAAATCTAAAAATTGTAAAAAATAACAATAAACCTCACTCTGTGTATTATGCCTTGAGATATCTAAGGATGGTATATAGAAGTCATCTTAAAAAAAAAAGTCATCACTTATCATCTTATTCCATTCAGAAAATTATTAATACTATGAGAAATTTTTTGCATGTTAATACATAAAATTGTTCTTATTATTTTGAAATGTATGATTTATAAGATACAAAATTTAAAAATTATTTTAAAAGTCTGTATTTCATCCTTGTTTCAGTTAAAAATTTTTTCTATTTCTGGCTAAGGTGCTTAATGTATATATTAGTAGAGTAATATGTGTGTATGGTATATATGTATGTGATATTTGCTCAACATTTTTGTTAATGGTGGTACAATAAAAACTCCTGGAGTCCATGATTCCAGAAGAATGGATATAAATTTAAATGGATTATTACAGTAAAGTGAATGAACTGTATGTGTATGAATAAACTGAAGTTGTAAAGAATTAAGTGAAAACACAGAGCCTTTGTCAGAATCAAGAAAGCTTTCACAGAGGTTATGTTTACGCTTGGTCTTAAAGGAGTAGTAGGCCTCCAAGTATAAGGATCTTTGAGTCAAAAGGAACATTATGTTCTAAAGTACAAAGTAACAAAGATACATAGTTAATAAGATTCTTGGACTGAAAGGTGGAAAATTCAATGAGTGTGTATAAGCACACAAATGTCTTGGGAGTGTATATGTGTGCTTCTGTCATACAGGTTTGGGTAGGAAAAAATATATAAATATTTTTAGCTGAAATTATGTACTGAAAGAACACAGATATTTATGTTACCATAGCTAAATATCTATATATTTTCTCTATATAACATATATTTATAATTATATACATACACTATAAGTAGATATCTGTATCTATATAACAACAAAGACATAAAAGCTTTCAAATTTCAAGAAAGCTGGCTAGTAACTGAACATCTGATTTTTTAGAGTAAGAAATACTAACATAATTTTAGCTAATGTGTTGAACATTTATAGTTGCCCAGGCCTTGTTCTATACTATAGGCACTGTTATCATCACTATTTTTATAGATAAAAAAACTGAGGCACAGGCAAGTGTCAGTAACTTGCCCAAGGTCAGAGAGCCAGTAAAGGGCGATGATGAGATTTAGCTCAAACAGTCTCTAAAATCTAGAATTCTACTCTTACTCTCTATGCTAGTAATTTTCATTTTGATTTGGCTGTGTCTCATAGAAAGATATCTTCCGTTGTGACCCGTGATGCATATATAGTTTTGTGAACCATATTTACTCTTACAATATACAGTGCCCTCCGGTAGTTTCTAGTCTAGAGCATTCTACAATTATATTTCATTAAAAATTTTTGGTTACTACTCATTAACTGATTTATAATCTGCTAATGAGTCATGACCTATAGTTTAAAAAGCACTGTATTATGTTTACTCTAATAAGGGAATGCTAAATATGTTAAATGCTAGATATGTTACATGTTAATAGCTTGTAGTGAGATAATTTGGGTACCATTAAAGTTTTAATATTGTTTATTATGCTTGGAATTGTCTTCTAAATCTTGAAAAGTCCCCATTTTTCTATTTTTGAACAGCTCTAAAAACATCTTAAATGGAAATTAACTTGGTCACATGACTGCTGTATCAGTAATTCCTCTCTTCCTTCAGCCTGTTTGTTAATAAACCTTCTGGGGGCAAGATCTACCCATACTTTTGTACTTTCTCAATTTGTAGCATAATTATTTGCTTTTGATTGTTCTTTGTGTAGATGTTCAGTTTTGTGGATTATCAAGTGATCCTAAGAACAGAAGAAAATATATGCTTAAAACTGTTCATGTTTTGTTCCATTCACATACATGAACTTAAATACTATTTACTAATTAATATAATAGCTGAGAATATATGTATTTTTGCAAAAATAATATAGTTTGTGCTGGCATCTCTAGTCAAATTTCTTGTCTCATCTGAAAATTCTAAATATGATAGAATTACTACCAAAACTCAAAATAAAGCTAATCTTTAGGAAGGTATTACATATTTTAAAATTTATAGTATTCTTAATTATAAACAAGGGGAAATTCTGGTGACATTAATGAAATTATAGTTTGGGAAGTGATCTTAGATGTTAACTAGTTCAACCTCTTACTCATAAATCTAAATCACTCAGAGGTGGACAGTCAACCTGTGCTTGAATGCTTAATTGATAGGAAGCCACTTCCCCATGGGGGTACCTTCCCCAATTGTTGGTGGTATTAGCTCAAATTCTTCCTCATGCTGAGCTGAAAACATTTGCACATTTTACCCCTTCACTTAGTTCTGTTTCCCCCTTTTTTACATAATAAACCTTCAAACATTTGTACAGAGCCTGTACATGTCTCTCTGGCTTGAGCTCCTTTAATTGGCCTTCAGACACAACCCCTCCTTCCAGAGTTCTGGCTCACTCCAGTTTGTTTATATACAGCTCTTAAAATATATAGCCTAAAATAATGTAGACTATCGCAGTACTTCCAAAGATCTGGTTATTATTGCCTAAAATTATATTAAGTTTCTAACAGATATAGGAAAGTTTTCTTTTTTGTTTGTTTAGTTTTGTCTTCATTTTTTCTTTTCTTAAAGAAAAACTGTCAAGATAGATATCTTGCTTCTGTTAAAAAAAAAAAAAAGCCAAACTAAATAGATAGAAGCAAAATGCAAAAAAAAAAAAAAAAAAAGACCACAAATTGGTAGAAAATATATGCAACACATATAACTGATGTAGAATCCTAGAATATATTGATATAAGGAACTTTTATCAATAAGGAAAAAAAACTCAGAACCCAAAAGCAGACATTTCACAAAAGAGAAAATGCAAATTGTGCATAAACATATGAAAAATGCTCAATTCATTAGTAACTAGGGCAATGCAAACTGTTATAATTAGACACCATTTCTCACCCATACTTTTGAAAATATTAAAGGCTGACTACTGGAGGTTTAGTGGGCATGTAGTAAAGGCAACTCTCATTTATTGCTTTGGAAAATAATTTGGCATTACCTGTTGCAGTATACTTAACCTGAGTGAAATACACATACCCAGCAACATGTGTATCAGCAGATGTACAAAACTGTTCCTAGAAGCACTATTCATAAAGGCGAGAAACTGAAAGCAACCCAAATGGCCAGGAATAGGAGAATGAAAAATTTCCACAGACTGTAATACAGCAATTTCAATGAAATGTAATACAAAACAAATACAAATGAAGTGCAGCTAAACTAATCAATAATAATGAATCCAAAACACAAATTTAATTGAAAAAAAGCAAATCATAGAAGTATATAGATGAAATGGTTCTATTTATATGAGTTACAAAATTAAAGCAAAACTAAACAATATATTGTTTGAGATATATTTACATATGGTAAAATTATAAAGAAAAGCATGGAATCATTAACATAATTCTATATAGTGTCATTTTGTAAGAGAGAAAGGGGATGTAATTAAGGAGAGGCATGTGAGATTTCAACAATACCAGTGATTTTCTATTTTTGAAACTGGGCATTGGGTTCTTTCATTATTAGTCTTTAACTTGTTCTTGTATATTATGTACATTATTTTGTATGTAAGATACATTTCACAATTGAGAGACTTAAAAAAGTATATTGAATGCAGACAGGAATAAATTGGAAGACTGGGATTAATAAATACACACAACTATATATAAAATAGATAACTGAAAAGGACCTATTGTATAGCACAGGGAACTCCGCTCAATACTTTGTAATGGCCTATGTGGGTAAATTTTAAAAAGAGTGAATATAATATAACAGATTCATTTTGCTGTATACCTGAAACTAAAACAATATTGTAAACCAAACATACTCCAACAAAAAATTTAAAAAATTGTATTGAATGCATATACATGACTATAGTTTCCTTTACTAAACCATAGTTTTTTAATTTTGGTTTATCATTTCAACTGGTAAAGATGATTTTAAATCTTCATGCCATTATTCATTTGATTAATGACTTCCTTTGTTACTCTGTACTTTTGACAAACTGTATTAGATGAATGTACTATTTTAAAAATGTGTATCACTGAAAAATTTGTGGTTATTCAGAGTTTTAAAAATTAATTTATACTCTTCAGCTTTAGTGAAATATTAACAATATAATATATTTAAGGTATA